TCCTGAGGAAATTAAAGGCTGCTAACAGCATCTTAGCAACCATAGATTTTGGGTCTATCCATATTAACATTCTCTCAAAAGATGGGCTACAAGTCACCAAGAGCATTATCAAAGATAATACCACAGCAAACCTGGCTACTAAACTTTGCTTGTCCTCATCCACAACTACTTTGAATTTGATAATGGTCTCTATCTTCAGATTAATCTATCACCTACAGCTCACAACTCAAACCACTTCAACACATTATCCATGCCATACAGCCTTTGCGGGATAAGGATGTTTCTCTTTCACAGGCTTTGGGTAGCAGGTTTTCCTTGCTTACAAGCAGTCCTTCCCTGCCATAGTTTAAAACAGATTTTCACCAACTATCTTCAATCAATCCAAGAGAGAAATCCAGGAACCAAACACTGCAACAGACCTAGATGCCAACTCCCCCCACTTTTTGCCATCTAGTCTCAGCCAACTTACAGCAACCACACAGAGTTTTCAAGACAAGAGATGTTTAGAGGACATTTGCCATTTACTGCCTCTGTGTAGCGACCCTTGTATTCCTTGGTTGTCTCCCATCCAAATATTCACCAGGGTCAACCCTGCTTAGCTTCCAAAATCCAATAGAGCTATCCTGGGCTAGCCAGGTCAGGATTGTCCCCCCATATACACTCGGGCAACAGTGTTATGGGTCCTACTAACATCAGCTGCTTTTAATGGCAAAAATGTTTCCTAATTCCAATCTTAATGCCAAAAGCAAGAATTTTAATCCAGTTTCAAGAAGAAAAATACTGGCATCACTGAGCCTTGCTAGGCGTAAATCATTCAAGTTAAAGATTGTGTTTAGGAATCGCGTATAATTACAACTAGGATTACTGCAGATCATGATCAAGCTGAGTTTTTCAATAACAGCCCACACATACAATGCTATACTTGGTAAGAGGCAGAATGTTGAACACTGAGTAAAGATTTGGCTGATTCAGAGCCAGACAACATATCACAAGGAAAAGCATGGTTGTGAGAGATACCGAGCACTTTCCTAAGGCTCAGACTTTACAAACTTTACAGAACCATTTAAAAAATATAATTTAATATTGTCACACAACCTGAAAACTAGTTTTAAAACAAAATATCAAGTGATCATTACACTTCATCAACAAAGACTGAATGAGTATTAGTTAGAACTACTGGCAATTTTGTTATTTTTATGAGATTTATAAATGTTGTGTCCGAACAGATTTAAGACAGTGCTACATACGGCAAGTGCTCTGTATTAAATTGAACTGCGTTCTAAATTTCTGAAAATATGAACAGATCAAGTAAAAACAAAACTACGGTGACTGAGAAGATACACCAGGAGGTAGCTGCATTAAGCTTGCAGCAGCAGAAGCAGCAAGGAGTCATCGGGGGTTTAAAGACCAAGATATTTTTAAGAACAAACTTTCATGGGTTAGAGTGCACTCCATCAAATGTGTCAGATGCACCTGATAAAGTGTTTTCCAGCCCTCCAAATTTATGCCACAATATATGTTAGTCTGTAAAGTGTCCCAATTCCCTTTTTTATTCAAGAATATACAATACATTTCCTTAAACAATCTATTGGGAAAAGGTTATTCACTTGCAAATACTATAAAACCTAAGTTGAACTCCTGGCCTAGGCAGTTAAAAGGTAATCAGGTAGCAGAGCTGGAAAAAAGGCCTGAAAACCTAGAAGTATCGGAATAGATAACACTCTATCAATAGTATGAAAAAGGTTAGTGCATGTGTTCAGCAACCAACACATGGGTCTTTGTAAATAATACAAAAGAGTAATATGACACTGTACCAAAGAAGTCACAATGAACAAGGAAGCAAACATTAAGTATTGCAATCTACATGGAGTTTCAGTGGCACTAAAGGTGCACTTAAGGTAACTGTTCATATTTAACTGCAATAAAATCCATGAAAAGGTCTAACTATTATTTCCAGAAGACTAATCACAAACTATAAGCTGTTTAAAAAATCCATAGTTTATCACTGTGAATGACTCCCACTCGATTCACAGTACTGGTAAATGAAAAATGGTAAGTGAAGCATCATTGTGCAGACAAAAAGGTAAAGGTTTCCCTTGCTCAAAAGCTGCGCAGATACCACCTTCCAACTGAACTAACAAAAGTGTCAAAAAGTATTTGTTCCTGAATAATTACAATAGTGGATAGATTTTTAAAAGTCAGTGCAGCAGTCTGGTTAGAATGCCGGAATAGGATCTGCAAGTCTTGAATTCAAGCATTTCCAGTCATGAAGGTTCCTGGGGGACAATGGAACAGTTACGGTGCGTTCAGATGGGGCATTTACAACAGTATAGGTGCCGGTTGGAATTGGTGTACTTACCGGCATTCACACATAGAACATCTGCCTTCCGTCCCTAACTGTTGCAAAGAGCTTTAAACCGGTGTATTCTGCTACTAGGTCCCCAAGTGGTGGTATCCTGAGTGCACCGGTTGTAACTGCTTTACCCCCCCGTCTGATCGCTCTCCACCGTTGTAGAGCCGCTTCCGCTTTTTGCCCGCCATTTTTTTTGTTAGGTCGACGATATGTGCTTGGGTGAAGCTTCACCCCGGCGTTTGTTTACAAAAAAAGAAAAAGGTTCTTAGTTTAAGGTTTTGGAGGAGTCCGGAACATCAGGGAGGCCAGTTTGGTCTTTAAACTTTAAAGGTAAGTCCTCTCTTCAGGGCATGCTTTTCGGGACAGGGTGTTTTGCACATGCATGAAAATCGCCATTCTGTGGATGGCTGCCTATGCGCATGCGCAAACTGAGTTTAAAAAAAACACCGCCGACACCTGCTGTGTGTGAACGGACATACAGTGATGGGCTCCACAGACAGGAGGTAAGTGTGATCGCATTTCAGCCGGCATACACTGCACCGGTTGGAACGCCCCGTCTGAACGCACCCACACTCATTCTAAGGCACATCATTGTAGCAATGAACAACCAGGTATGCCACACTATGCTCCTGGAAGGGTAACAGGAGCTTGCTTATGCACAACAGTGCCACCTGGAGAGAATAACTGTGTTATACAATGCATTGTCAGCCAGATCTTAATAGAGTAGGATTGGGTTAAGAAGGAAGCCATGCAAAGCAGAACATGTTTTTAAGGAAAGGCAGTGACTTCTTGGAAAACTATTATCCCATCTAAATGTAAAACAAAGAGGAAAGTCTGACAAGCAATCTTCCATGGACCACACTGGAAAGATAATAATTATACTGTAAGAGGTCCCATTTAATTAAAAGAGGATGTTAATGAGGATGCTTTAGATTGAGGGCTCTCCAGCAACAAACTAGCCTGCTCTCCATTTACTGGAAGACACCTACAGTCTTAGAAGCCCACCACCCTTATTACACTTAGGGTGCGTTCAGACGGGGCATTTTAGCTGGCATAAACTGCTCCGGTTGGAACTGGAGCAGTTTGATCCGGAAGAAACGTGATCACACTTACCTCCTGACTGTGCAGCACATCGCGATATGCCCGTCCACACTTCAGGCACTCAGCAGAGCGCGTCAGCGGCTTTAAAAATTTTTTACACAGTTTGCGCATGCACATAGGCAGGCTTCCTTATAATGAAGATTTTTGCGCAGGCGCAGAACAACCCAACCCGGAAAGCATGCCTTGAAGTGAAGATGTCCCTTTAAATTTTTACTCTGAAACTGGCCTCTGTGAGGTCCCGGTCTCGTCTAAAGCCTTACACTAGGCCCTTTTTTTGGTTAGTTTTACAAACACCGGGGCAAAGCTTCGCCCAAGCACACATCGAGAAGACTTTAAAAAAAATGGCGGCCGAAAAGCGGAAGCCTCGGGCTTCTGAACGGAAGTGGCTAGACACCGGCAGAGAGTGATCAGACGGGGATAATGCGGTTGGAACTGGTGCACTCAGGATACACTTGGGGACCTAGTAGCAGAATACAACGGTTTAAAGCTGTTTGCAACGGTTAGGGACGGAAGGCAGATGTTCGCCGTGTGATTGCCCATAAGTACACCAATTCCAACTATACCAGCATAAATGCCCCGTCTGATGCACCCTTACAGTAGGGAGCTATGCCTACTCAGTTTTTTTAAAAAAGCTTTCCATGTGTCCATTCTTATTACTTTGTATGTTTTAACAGAGTCTCAACTTCTTTTAACACTTTTAGGAGCTCATTGCAGCATATGCAATCCTTCCCTTCGCCATTTTGTCCACACAACTCTGTGAGGTTGCTCAGGCTGATAATGACTCCCCCAGTGTCACCCAACAAACTTCAGACCTAAGAAAGGCTTCAAACCAAGGTCCCCTGGGTCCCATTCTATACCACATGGGCGCCTTCTATCTTATAAATAAATATAGGTTGATGTAACCCCACTGACCTACGCTCCTGCACAAGCAACACAGGGCTATGAAGCATTTTGTGAAGCAGGTCTAAGCCCTTACCCAAGATTGGGGGGCGGGGCGGAAGTGGAATCCGGCAAGAAACAGAGAAAGCAGCTACAGGAGAACAAAGCCAAGCAAGAGACACTGATCTTTTCAGAAAGAAGCCGGGAGGACCCAGGCATCCTGGGGCGAGTGGGAGTGAGCCAGATCAACAACGGTAGAGAAAGAGGAGCAGGTGAAGGGACCGAAACTCGGGCATGGCACAGAAACGACGGCGGGTTCTCCACAGAACCCGACAACGCAATCCTATGCAGACTTGCTGACAATCCGAATTTACTGATTTCAGCAAGGTTAGAGTGGCTTGGCTCTGCACATGATGGCACTGTGAGAAGCGGCGGTCTTGCAAAAGGAAAACGCGCACCAAGTGACCAGAGAAAGCAAGTGCCAGTTTGGGCGAGAGAGAGAAGCGGTTGGGGCGCCCGAGGGTGACGGGGTGGAGAGGAGGGCACGCGGGGGGGGGGGGGGGAGGGGGGGGGGGGGGGGGGGGGGGCCGGGGGGGGGGGGGGGGGAGAGACGATGACAGGCCAGGCGCTGGGTCAGAGAGAAGGCGGCTGCTGGCCAGGGACTCACGCATGAGAGTGCTGAAGGCCACCACCCCGAGCAGCCCCTGAAGGAAGATGCCGAAGCTGTCCATCAGGGCCCCGTTCTTGCAGCCGCCGTAGGCTGGCCGGGCCCCCGACGACGAGGAGGAGGAAGCAGCACCGCCGTTCCCGCCGGCCACCGGCGAGCCGGGCTTGGCCGTGACGATGCCGGAGGTGCTGGGGGCGTGGGAGCCCCCCATAGTGGACCGGGCGCGCCGCTGAGCGGCCGTGCCTCCGGGGGGAAAGTGATTCGCACACTGCGCGGCACTTCCGGGAAGGGGGAGGGAGTTCCACGCGCGGCAGTGTACGTCTGTGCCGCCGTATGACGCCACTCAACGCCGATTGGCTTGATTTGCGGTCTCAAGGGAGGAGCTAGCGGCGAGCCCGCTCCGGGGCGGAGCTTAGTCCCTTAAAGTTCCAAGCCCCGGAGGAAGGAGGGCGGTGGGTTGTAGTTGTTGTGTTGGCTCTGAAGTCCGTGGGAATCTCTCTTGTGAGAAGCAGGGCTACCTATCGGGGAGAAAGTCTCACCGGACCGTCTTCCGAGAAGGGGCGAACTGAGCGGAGTGGAAACAGGTTTCAAGCAGGCTGAAGTAGAGCTACTCTTGCCCCGTCTGAATTACCGCTGTTTTTACCAATTAAATGGATTTGATATTCGGTGCTTTGAAGAATAAAGGTAGGGGGTGTCTAAAAAGAGCTTCCTTGTACGCATTTTTTAAAAAATATATTCCTCCCGGCTCCAAGACATGGTGTTTGAGATAATCCCCCCCCCCCACACACATAATACACTTGGTAGAGTTGTGGCGAACTGGAAAGCTAGCGCGCTGTGTTTTGTTGTTTTGATTAGTCCTAACAAAAGCTAATGCATGCTTTTGTTTTTGGATTTTCCTGTACACCAGTTTTCCTATAAACCAATACTGCTACCTACCTTTTGTGCCTCTACTCGAACGTGTAATGTTACTCTGTAAAGGAACTTAATGAAACTTTTTCTAAGATGCCGTTTGGATGTATCATGTAGCAGAGTCTGAAGACTCAACATAACGAAATCCAAACTAAAAATTACAGTCTTAGATGTGAAAAGAACGTTCATATGAAAATAACTAAGAAATATGTACATTTTCCTGATGTTGAAGTACTTCTCAGCCCTTTTGAAGCTCAGCTCATGTTTAAATTTACTGTACTTTTTAGAACCCACTTGCAAAGTAACTTTCTGTTACTTTGCCCTTCTCCAACATAAAAAGCAAGAATCTCACATCAGTTAACAAATTTATTTTTAGTATTTATCAAATGTGGCATTACTGAGCAAGAAATTGTCTTTCATTGTCATTATACAGACACAAGCCAAGTTTTCCATCAAGCATCCCAGAGCCTCCTCTTTTCCTCCTGTTCTTATGTCCCAGCCCAAAGTCCAAGGAAAAGATCACGTTGCTCCACCATTAAATATGGTTATATGCTAGCTAATATAGCAAAACCAATACAGGCTGCTGAGGACAAATAAGGGACAGGCTGAAGTTGAGATATAGCTGAATCAAGATCCCCCACTCCCTGTGGCAGAATCTCATGTCTACCTTGAGTCTCAAGTTAGGAGCTCCCATTAGACATACTATCCTCCCCTCAAGGGAACACAGCAAAACCAATACAGGCTGCTGAGGACAAATAAGGGACAGGCTGAAGTTGAGATATAGCTGAATCAAGATCCCCCACTCCCTGTGGCAGAATCTCATGTCTACGTTGAGTCTCAAGTTAGGAGCTCCCATTAGACATACTATTCTCCCCTCAAGGGAACACTGACACTTTCAGGCTAAGACATTAATATTTCTATCCAATAGAAGAAGGGAGCACATCTCAAGCTCAGACATGTACTTATCTACCATAGAAAAAGGCGACACACATCTGGTACAATATTGAGCTTTCTGAACCTACTACTTCACCCCAAGTTGAAAGGTGGTGTGTTGTGTATGTTTGCAAAGTATCCAGACAAACCCAGAATTGTGGCTCATATGATGGTTTCTACCTAAGAACAGATGGCATGAACTTGGGCTTTGTCCCTTTTTTCTAGATGGTTGAGAAATGAATTCTAAGCCTTGAGACAGGCTTCAGAATATTTAAAGAAAGAATCAACTAGGAACTCAGTTTCAGTTTAAGGTTCAGCACTGAGATGTTTATATGAAGGAAGAACAGAGAGAGTAGAAGGTATGAGTCTGAGAATTGTCCCTTTGAGATGGTATTCAGAAATAAAGGCCTGGTCAAAATTTTTGTGCCCAGACCAGAGAACAGTACAATGGTCATTGCAGAACATAGGCTGCGGTCACACGGAACAGTAGCCACGCTAGAGAGACGGAAGATAGGCGGATTTTCCGGGCGTGATCTCACCGCCACATCTGGGAAGCGTAGAGCTCCCGTGGCTCAACTGAGGCTTCCCTCCAAAGATGCACGGCAAAAAACTAGTACCTCGGAGGTACTAGTTTCCGGAAACCGCGG